CTCCGTGGAGATGGCCCCCGGGACGGCTGTGGGAACGACCGAGGAGGCCTCGGGAGAGCTGGCCTGGGGCCCGGGAACTCCGGTAGGGCGGGGGTGGGGGTGGGGGCGGGTGGATGGAGCCCCGGGGGACCCCGGCGGGGCAATGCAGGCAGGCTTGAGTGGGCTGGACCTGCTCTAGGGGCCTGCGCTGTCGTTGGCGGGTTGAGCAGCTTGGACTGGCTTCTGGGCAGGGGGTGACAGGACATGGAATGAAGGCTGCAGAAGCCTAGGCGCCCAGACCAGTCAGGAAACAGGCTTGCACCCTGTACTCCAAACTGCTGTCCCCATCACAGTCAGGGGAAGGCAGGTGTGCTTATGGACCCGCCAGTCCCCAGTCCTCCTCACCCGCTAGGGCCCCCACTTCCATACCATAGTCCAGGTCGCTATTATCCCCGCCCCCACCCCTACAGCTGCAGGAATCTGTCCTCCTCCTGGGCGCCCCCATTCAAGCTCTTCAGGGGTCTGGGTGGCTCTCTGCTGTGCCCCAGTCCTCAGCCACTGGATGTCCCAGCCCACCCTACACTGCGTTCTGGACATGTCTTCTTTTACCCAACAACCTCAGCCCCTCTGAGCCTTTGCTCAGGCGGTTTCTCCTGCTGGGAACGCCCCCCTCCCCCCCCCCCCCCATTTGCCTGGCGGCTCCCATTCATCCCTCCTCTGCAGGACAGCCTTCCTTAGCCACCCCAGCCCCCAGCAGGTGACTCAGGCTCCTCGCCCCCGTGTTTCAATGGCTCTGTTTTCTGTCCACCTGGATCCACAGTAGGGGTCCTGAGCACCGGAGGACTGGGTCACTCAGTTTTCAGAGGTACTAAACATGCGGGATGTTGGAGGCAGGAGTAGATGAGTGAATGAGTCTGGGGCTGAGGGTCCTGAGTAGTGCAGGGCCTCTACCACCCACCCTGGTCAGCCCATGCACCTCCTCAGCCTGGCATTCAAGACCCTCGTAGTCATCCTTGCTGGCTTTCCTGTCCCTGACACCTTTCCCACTTGTGCGGGCTGTCCTCACCACTGTACTCCATCCTTTTTCACCCCGGTGCCTTCACCCATACAACTGCCTGTGGCCATCACAGGGTCATGGGCAGTGCACTGTGGGCAGCATCCCTCTGCCCAGCATGCTGTTCTCACCGAACCCTAGGGCCTAGTTAGGACTCTGGGTGCCCTGGGGGCCTCCCCAGCAAATTGTGGGGAGGCAGGGTCTGGTGTGAATCCAGGCTGGGCTGGGAGGGAGATGGCAAGGTAGCCACAGGGACCTGTGTCCCTTGAGCGCACAGGGGCCTAGCCACTATGTAGCTCTGTGCCCGTGTGTGTGTGTGTGTGTGTGTGTGTCTGTGTGTGATTGAGGGTGCTGCCAACCCTGTTCTTTGGCAGCCCTGGACCCAGGCCACCATGAAGACTTCTGGATCCCCTCTATTCATTCATTCATTCATTCATTCATTGTAGCCTCTCTGGAAGGTACAAGGGGAGGTGAGAATTTGGCACTCGTCAAACCCCACAGAGCCCCCCATTCCTGCTGAGTCACCTGACCCCCTGGGATATCCAGTGTCTGGTTCTGCTGGTCCCTAGGGCCTCGTTAACCATACTCCTGCCCCCCCTCCCCTCAGTAATTAAAATATTGCAGACAAAAATGCCCTGGATTCCTTCCCCCAGGCCTGCTGGAGTCAGGTTGTGTGACCCAGGGGCTCTGCCTCCTCTGAGCCTCACCTGTGAAGTGAAGGAGGCCCCTAACATCTGTGGTGGGGGCACAGCAAGGAGGCTGGGAAAGGCTGGGGAGGGGGGCGGGGGGGGTGATGGTGGACAGACTCCAGATCTGTGATGTGGTATGAGAGCCAGGAAGGGTGGGGCTGGGCTGCCAGGGCAGAGAGGGGCCTCGAAGTTTTCTGACTATTGAGGCTGCTGGAGGGATGTGGTAGGAACAGAGCCTTTGCGGTGAAGAGCTGACGATCCTGCAGGTGCTGCAGATATGAGGTCATGGCTGGTGGCAGAGAGTCCCAAAGTCATGGGCAGACAGATTACCCAGGAGCGAGTGCAGAGCGGGAAGAGAGGCCCCGGGGACCCCGACCAGCCCAGAGGGGGGCTGCAGAGGCATTGGTGAGGGGTGAACAGGCAGCTGTGGTCAACATGACCCTGAGCCCCTGAGGTCAAGGGCAGCGATAGTCAAGAAATAGGTTGCGGTGACTGTAGCCTGAGCCTCAAAGGTGGGGGGGCCAGCAGAAGCTGAGGACTGGAGGTGAGAAGATAGGTTGGGGAGCCCTTGCCTAGGCTCGTTGGTCAGAACAGAGGTAGCTTCGGAAGGAATGGGACAAGAAGCAGGAACAGAGCTACTGACCGGGCCAGGGGGACTGGCACACAGGCCTGCTTTCTGGTTCTTCTGCTTTCTAGAATATCCTCATAGGCCAGCCTGCCTGGCCCCCTGCACAGAGGAACTGAGTGGGGCCCAGTGCAGGGCCTAGCTCCTTCCCCACTCTGGCCCCCTCTGTGTGCTCAGGGCCAGGGCCTGGTCTGCTGGGGGTGGGGAGGCTGGCTCTCACAGCTCCGGGAGCTGTCCCCGTCTGGGCTCTGTGCATTCAGGTGGGCCCCTCTGCACAGGCAGGGTTGGGCGATCAGCGGGCTTGGCCACCGATTAACCCAGAGCCTGGGAGGAGGGAAAACCCTGGGCTCTGCCTCTTCCTGGAGAAGGGGGCAGCCTCCGCGTCACTGAATTGCCTCACCTTTGCTCTCTGTTGCCCTGAAACCCTGGTGGCCCCCCAGAGAGGAGGTCTTATTTTCCAAAGCCGAGGGCGGTGGGAGCCGGGGAAGAGTTCAGGCGGCAAGGCCAGGCGGGCTTTGTATGTCGGAGGGGCCCTGGTGGCCTCGGAGGGGGCAGGGGAG